AGTAACCTCAGCCCTGATCCCTCTAGGGTCATTTCCGGTAAAACTACAGGGTGAGACTAACGAGACATAGGATTATTCTCTTTTTTATACTAGGTCTGTCTACCTGGGGCTACAGAACCAAGCAAGCTAAGTAATCAGACGATCGTATTTATGATTGATTTACTCTAGATCTACATCTAGATCTAGCTAGAAGATGTTTCAGTCCAAACAAGACTATTGGGAGATCAGGTCGATTTGCTCGCCAGACAGATGGCGCAAAGCGGCTCTTGTTGCACAAGTTGATCGCGCCCGACTCATTGCCTCAAAACAAACGCCATTCCGACCCGACCTGACCTGACCTGATCCCATCTGCAATGAGCACTGGGTACCCTGCTGTACAAATGAATATGTTAGATCTACAAGTAATGTATTTCAGGTACGAATTGTCCCCTTTGGCCTCGTTATTTTTAGTCGTAGAAGAAAGTTTCGTTTATTTCTAACAACATTTTATTATTATTTTTCCAACTTTTGCGGAAAATTAGCCATAATTCGCGAATTCAGGAAAAAGGCAAAAATTGCGCAAAAGTTGCTCTGAGGGCAAAGGTTGCGCGCAAGTAACGGTTTGCGTGCGCAAATTTATCTGAGGACAGTATTGGTATGTGCACGACACTGTTGATGCGTCGCAGTCAAAAATGTCACGACAACATGGGACCTGGGTCTTTGGTGACTTCCAAGAACCACATGAAAACTTTTTGGATCACAGTTTTAATCTTACCCCTTTTGACTTCCACCTGTTTGGGCTCAGGCAGAAATTTCTTGCCGTTGGAAATAACTGACGAAGAAACAATGCGGCAAACGTTAGAAATTGGCTTCGGTCCCCTGACACAATATTCGACAGCGATGGTCTGTAGTTTACATATGCAGCGATAGGAAAGATACTTGACTGTTCGTTTGAACTACGTTGACAAAAGGAATCTGTCGTCCACTAATCGTGTAAGTTATATTATACACGTATCAATCATGACACAACATTTCATACTATAGCCATTTACTTGTTAAATCTGTGACAACATCATCAAGTACCTGGTCTGCGACAGGCATAGGTGATCATGGTTCTCCATTCATTCTTTTGCTTTGAAGTTGGGGATTCGAACCAGAGCCATCAACTTCATAGTCCAGCAATACTTCTCTAAGGTTATAAAGAACTTCACGTCGTGAATTTCGTTCCGATTCTTCTACTCATTTGATTCTAGCATGAATACGGGCTCCTTTGTTACTTCCATTAATCTTAGTTCACATGATCTTTTATGTTAAAGTGGAAACATGATAGAACCGGGATGGTGGGACCAGAGAAAAAGTGTTATATCCGATCCCTGTTAAATCAGAAATGCAAGTGAAGTAAGCGTTTGAGGACTATTCCAGCTGTACTTATTCAAGGGTAGTTTTCCTTGCCACAAGTACCCATGAACAGGGGTTTTGGTCATTGGTAGGCCTGGGCATGACCCATTACGCGTGCGTGTAGCTAGGTTAAGGACTAGACGACCGAAGTCTGCAGCACACTGCAGCCCTCTCTTTCTTCACCCGATGGGTGTGCTTGCAGTTGCAGCAGTAGCGTGGCTTGCGTGGGCTAGCTCAATCACTGCGTTACTCTCTCTCTCTCTCTCTCTCTCTC